TAAAGGGGATGGAGAGGGTGAGAGAAGTAAAGGGGATGGAGAGGGTGAGAGAAGTACAGGGGATGGAGAGGGTGAAAGAATTAAAGAGGGTGCCTAACGTGCAAAGGAACAATCAAACAACTGAAAAATCTTCATTTCCCTTGACTTACAAAAAAGTCGCTGAATTAGAAAAAATTATCTTCACAGTTCTTAAAGTATGTGATTCAAATATATTTCTTAATGAGAGGCTAGTTTGTTCTTCATCTAAAGAACAATGAATAAATAAATAAAAATCTATTTCTAAATAAATCTGAACCTCCTATTAAATACCGCTATATTAAAAACTTCAACTGCTCCAGACAGATTTTATTTATAAAATATAAGAGAACATCCATTTTGTTCACCATATATTTTATAGCTAGAAGTATTAAGATTAAAAAGGCATGTCATGAAATTCTTCCCCAAAAATCTCACTTTCTATAACAGTCAAATGTCAAACATAGTTGTATCAACAATAGAATACTTTTTCAAATTAATTACGGAGTATTTGAATCTTAAATGATAATTTTTATTAGAAGAAAAAGGACTAATTAGCAACAATAAAAATTTAAAAAATACACACGCACACACATGCAAAAAAAAGTCCATTAAGGACTATAAACTAAGAGCTGGCAAAATATTGGCAAACATTTGGTTCCACAACCCTAAAGAACAGATAAGAATTTGCTAAAATGAGCATATTAAAACATATAAATGTCTAAGAGTAGTAGTAACATTTTTTTCTTATGAAGGTTAAATATTCCTTCTGAAATCCTCTCTATATTACTTTATAAACCTTTTTCTCCTTTGATACAAAAGCAAATGTTATCCCAGACTGTTCTGAATAAATTAGCAATCAACTGAAGAACATGTTAATATAACTATTGTTTTTTAAAAGCAGGATCTACCATTAATGTAATTTTTAAAGATTTCTAGGATGATCTACTTTGTTGGAGTAACTAACAAAGTTAGAAAGTTACAAAGTTAAATTATATTTGTTTACTTATACTGTCATTTTCTAGGATTATAATAGAACATCTGCATCATATGACAATAACTCCCTCAGATACTCAAGAACAAAAGTACAGTATGGTTTGTACAGTATAAGAGGCAGACAGCCTAGAAAAAATGCTGAAGAACAATAGTTTAGTACTGTTTGTGTATACAGTACAATACAAACAAAAGGCAGATAACCATAACATATATACAAGAAACAAATACAAATATACTCATTAAAATTGTATTTACAATTACAGAAATACTTAGACGATTAATCACCACAATTATTTAAGCATAAATATGTATCAGGAAGAGGCAGATATATAAACAGGAGGAAAAATGAGAGGAAAAAGAAACATCTTAAAAGAATGCTATCGTGGGCACTCAGGAAAGCGTTCTTAAAGGATAGGATAGTAGAAAGAAGTAAAAAGGAAATATAGGCCAAAAATATCTAAATGAAAAGTAATACAAAGGCAGTTTCCTGATTATAATTAAAATGTTCAATTAACTAGCAAACTTCTCAAATCTTAGTTGTATCCAGTTTGCAAAGATAAATTATGGTGCAGAGCAACTCTATTACCTTTGCCAAAATTTTTTCACCTCTTCTAAAAATAGAGCCCAATATGAAAAGGAAAAATTATTAAAGGTGTCTCTAGTCTGTTTTTAAACAGTTTTACAAATGAGGTCATAGAAATTTTTTTTTTCTTTTTAAAACTCAGTTCAACTGATGAAACAATGTGTCTGAAAGTAACTGAAGAAAGCTTTAAAGAGTCGATTTAGATTTCTGCAAAAGTCTGGTAAAGATTTTCTTCTGTTTTACAAAGTTAAGTACAAGTACAGCCTAAACACAAGGAGGAAGACAGACTAAAACTCTGGAGACTTTTCTAATTCTAATATTCCACTGAATTGTCCACACCCTTATATATGGTCTACTTTCTATCTGAAAAGTCTAGCACTTAGCATCAGCCAAATGCATTCACTTACCACTACACTGCCTATCATGGTAGAAGATGAATACATAAACTGAATGGCTGAATAACTGGGTATATGTAATGATTATATATACACATACATACAATGTGTGTGTGTGTGTGTGTGTATGTGTGTGTGTACACACACATCGTTATTTCATCCATCATTTTAACTTTAAGCTCTCCAAGTAGAACTTTCAAAAGAACAGAAAAACATACATCTACCTACCTTAGATTTGTCTTAATACATTTTTTCCTGCCACATTTGCTCATTATTAAGACATTTGTATTCAGTGCTTTCCTCCTTCCCCGTTTTCTTCTTTATCCTGCAGTAAAATCATAATGCTGAATTGGGGGAATCATAACATTTTATTCATGTTTTTGAAAAATGAAAACCTCTCAAAACTAGGCCAGGAAGTATACTCTAATTTCTATGAAACTAAAAAAAAATAAAAAAATAAAAGACACTGAAAGCCATTTCTTATTATTAGTTGTTTCAACCTTACTTTTTTTTTTAATCTCCCTAGGGGAAAATTTTCAAAAACGTTAAATCATGCTTTATTTTTTGGGTTATTTTCTACTGATGAAAACGCAGCGCGTTGTCGAAACCGTACAATATACACTAAGCATAGCTCATAGGTATCAGCTCTATCTTAAAATGGTAACAGTTCCTTAATAAACTTAGTAAATTTATCGTTTTCTTAAATTTCAGTCCAGTTCAACAAATTTTTTAACTGGTTTTCATTTACCTTAAAGTTGGGTTTTGCACAAGAATATTAGCTCCAAACAAAAGACCAACAGTTCATTTAAAACTTTATTATGATAGCCTTCAGTCCATTAAAAAAGCTGCTTTAGACATTTCAGCTATTAAATAAAATGCCAACAATTGAACCCCATTTTTTTATTTTAATTTTGGTGAAAATACACATAGCAGAATATATATCCATTCTTCAGTGTCTACATGCACAACTCAGTAACATTGGTTACATTCTTCACATTGTGTCACCGTTCAACTAGCTCTACCCAAACTGCATCACCACCACTGACTTAAGACTCACTATTCCCTAAACTTCTCATCTATGCTTTAGAGTTACTGTTGACAATTTGATCTCATACAGATAATTCTTTAAAGAGAGCAATGCTCATGGCGAACATTCTTTCCTAATTTAGCTGAACAGCTGTTGAGTTCAAATATGACATAAGGGGATAATTTCAGTTCATGGTTTGAAGATTCTCAGAGCAAAAGGTTTGGGGATTCCTCAGGTCTCAATAGGTTCAGTAAATCTAAACTCCATTTTTTAAAAACTGGTATCTTAACAAATATATATTTGACTTGCTGAATGAAGTAAAACTGGCAAAGAAAAGGACAAAAGGATATCTGAGAGTACTTAGAGTTAAAACACCCATATACACACACACAACCATTCTTATCCCTAACTAAGTACCTTCTAGGCGTCTATGCCAGCAATGGCGGTGGTCAGCCACACATGTACTGCTTTCAGGGTTCCGTTCTAAGTGGTCATCCTCTAAAATGTCATACCATCCCAGTCAGTCTTCAAGCTGTGGCACAGAAAGCAGGCAGGTTTGCTGTGCCTCACTGAGAGCATTAAACCAATGGATACTGCTGCCACCCCCTGACCCCCCAACATAGGTACAACAGGAGACACAGGGCATTTGAACCAGGCTATCCATAACACAAACAAAAGGCAAGGGTGATGCCATTCATTTGAATTAGACCATATTCTGTATTGTATTATGCTAGCATTTTACAGGGACATCTTATTTTCCTTAAAAATTGTGTGATAATTTATTAAACAATAATCGTTACCCATTACATGTCAGATCCTTATGCTAGGCACTGGGAACACAGATAAGAAAATGTCCCTGCTCTCCAGGAGACAGACATGCCAACAAATAATGATATTATTTGAATGATAATGATGGTCACACACCATTTAAGAACAGAGAAGAACCGGCTAATTTCTGTATTTCCCTTGGAAATAGTTTTTCTTCAGCTTTTTTAAATAAATAATACACTCTTATGGTTCAAAATACAAAAGGTAGAAAAAAGCATTCAGTGAAATCCAGGAACCACCACCCACATCCTTTTCCCAGAGGCAATGAGCACTGAAGAAAGTACCAGCTTCTTGCCATCAGTCACAAGAATCTACATCTGTCAAGAGAAAAATGACTACCTTCATACCAGAATGATGACCATAAAATAAATGTGATCCTGATTCTGGATTATCAGTGAATTATTTCATTCAAACTATTCTCTCCAAAGTCACCAATGACTGCCTACTTGCCAAATCCAAAAGGATAGTTTTTAAAAGCCCATATCTTCCTTAACATCTCCACAGCATTTCCCACTCTCCCTAAAGTTCTTTCCTCCTTGAACTTCTCACAACACCACATTCACGCTCTTCTTTAAATTATCTGGTCCTTCGTTCTCAGTCTTCTTTGGCCTACTCTTTAAAAAGTTGGTATTTCCCAGGCTTCCAGTCACAAAAATCTCCTCCACATGTTCTCCCTCGGCTACTTCATCCTCACTTAACGAGTCTCAAATCATATCACCAGTGCAGATGTCCCTTCATTGTTAGCTTACAGATCCTCAAACCCAAAATGTTTACAACTCAACTCTGCAACTCTCCTCTCCCTGAACTTGCATCTCAGTGACTGACACAACCACTGACTCAGTCACTCTATCTGGCAGTCCTGCTTTCTCTTCACTTCCCACTTCCATTGTTCCAATTCCTGAAGTGGCACTGTGGTCTAGTAATATAGCAGTGGTGTGGTATAAAGAACACTGACTTTGGAGGTTTACCTAGGTGCGAATTTCAGGACTATCACTTCTTAGTGTGAGCTTGGACCATTTCTCCAAGCATCCTTTCCTGATCTGTCCAATGGAAATAACACCAACCTTGTGTGAGGAGAAAATGTAGCAATGAACACAAAATGTCTAACTGTGCTTGGAACTTAGGCAAGGTACATTAGCTGACTCGGCCCTAACAATTCTGCCTCCTAAGTATCCCCTGAATCAGCTCCATTCTCTCTATCCTCGTTGCCACTCCATTATTTCTGACCTTGATCATTTCTTGACATGATTAATGCAATAACAGCCGCCCACCTGGTGTCTATTATTCCTTCACCTCACTCAAACCGCGTCTCAACCCTCACAATCCAGACACTACTAGACCAAAACACTCCATACAAAATGCAAACCCAAACATGCAATTTCCTCATTTAAAATTCTCCAATGATTCCTCTTGCCTTCAGGATAAATATCCAAAGTTCTGAGCATTATAAATCAGGTACTTGGTAGGAGGATTAAAATGTTTGTTATAAAAACATTCAGATTTTAAGGTATGCCTCTCCTTCCTGTTCTATAAATTTCCCAGGTTCAAAATTACCTTGTGTGGATTTATAAAGCGGGAAGCCCCAGTTTACTACAGAATAACCTATGTATATTTTGAAAAACTCAACTGCTTTATATACTGACCTCATCCCAAATGTAGTTTTAACGTCTCAGAACTTGCTCTGACTTGGCAGATAAGGGCTGAATCTAGCACCACCACCACTGAAGAAAGATGTGGCAGTCTGCTTCCGTAAAGATTACAGCCTTGGAAACCCTATGAGGCAGTTCTACTCTGTGCTATAGGGTCGTTATGAGTCGGAATTGACTCGAAGGCAGTGGGTTTATTACAAGCAAGTAACAGCTTACACTAAGAAAAATAAGTTCAAATATTTTGCCTAGATGTGAGTTTTTGTCCTGTGCTTGAAGGAAAGCCATTTATAATAATATAAAAACTTTCTATCTATATTAGCATTCAACTCACGCTTCACCAGTGTTGATTTATTCACCCTCTGGCATAACAACTTCAATTAATTTCATTGGCTATTTTGAATAAGACAATCACATGGTCTGCTATGCTGGGAATGACAAATTGAAGAGGAATGGCGTTGCATTTACTGTCAAAAAGAACATTTCAAGATCTATCCTGAAGTATGACTCTGTCAGTGATAGGATAATATCCATATGCCTACAAGAAAAACCATGACTACTACTCAAATTTATGCACCAACCACTAAGGCCAAAGATGAGGAAATTGAAGATTTTTACCAACTTCTGCAGTCTGAAATTAAATCAAACATGCAATCAAGATGCATTGATAATTACTGGTGACTGGAATGCAGAAGCTGGAAACAAAGAAGGATCTGTAGTTGGAAAATATGGCCTTGGTGATAGAAACGACAGTGGAGACAGAATGATAGAATTTTGCAAGACCAACGACTTATTCATTGCAAATACAATTTTTTCAACAACATCAACAGGCGACTATAAACACAGACCTCACCAGATGGAAAACACAGGAATCAAACAGACTACATCTGTGGAAAAAGACAATAGAAAAGCTCATATCATCAGTCAAAACGATGCCAGGGGCCAACTGTGGAACAGACCATCAACTGCTCATATGTAAGTTTAAGTTGAGGCTGAAGAAAAATTAAAACAAATCCATGAGAACCAAAATACAACTTTGAGTATATCCCATCTGAATTTGGAGACCATCTCAAGAATAGATTTGATGCACTGAACACTAATGACCAAAGACCAGACGAGCTGTGGAATGACATCAAGGACACCATACATGAAGAAAGCAAAAGGTCGTTAAAAAGACAGGAAAGAAAGAAAAGACCAAAACGGATGTCAGAAGAGACTCTGAAAACTTGCTTTTGAATGTCGAGTAGCTAAAATGATGGACAACATGATGAAAAGACCCGAACTGAGGATTCCAAAGGCTGGCTAGAGAAGACAAAGTAAAGTACCATAATGACATGTGCAAAGAGCTGGAGTTAGAAAACCAAAAGGGAAGTACATTCTCGGCATTTCTCAAGCTGAAAGAAGTGAAGAAAAAATTCAAGCCTCGAGTTGCAATAGTGAAGGACTTGACAGGCAAAAGACTGAACAATGCAGGAACCATCAAAAGAAGATGGAAGGAATACAGTCACTCTACCAAAAAGAATTGATTGACGTTCAACCATTAAGCAGCATATGGTCAAGAATCAATAGTACTGAAAGAAGTTCAAACCTCACTGAAGGCATTGGTGAAAAACAAGGCTCCAGGAACTGATGGAATACCAATTGAGGTGTTTTCAACACAGATGCAGCACTGAAGATGCTCACTCATCATGCCAAGAAATTTGGAAGACAGCTATCTGGCTATCCTATTGGAAGAGATTCACATTTGCACGCATTCCTAAGAGAGGCGATCCAACAGAATGTGGAAATTACTGAATATTATAATTAATATAATTATATAATTAATTATAATTACAATTGATATCACATCCAAGTAAAATTTTGCTGAAGACAATTTAACAGTCGTAGCAGTACACTGACAGCGAACTGCCAGAATTTCAAGTCGGATTCAGAAGAGGACATGGAACCAGGGATATTATGGCTGATGTCAGATGTATCTTAGCTGAAAGCAGAGAATACTAGAAAGATACTTACCTGTGTTTTATTGACTATGCAAAGGCATTCAGCTGAGTGGATCATAACAAATTACAGACAACATTGCGAAAAATGGGAATTCCAGAACACTTAATTGCACTCATGTGGAACCTGTACATAGAACAAGAGGCAGTTGTTCTAACAGAAAAAGGGGATACTGAGTGGTTTAAAATCAGGAAAGGTTTGCATCAGGCTTGTATCCTTTTATCATGCTTATTCAATCTGTATGCTAAGCAAATAATCTGAAAAGCTGGACTATGTGAAGAAGAACGTGGCATCAGGATTAGTGGAAGACACACTAACAACTTGCAATATGCAGATGCACAACCTTGCTTGCTGAAAAGCAAGGAGTAGTTGAAGCACTTATTGATGATCAAAGACTACAGCCTTCAGTATGGATTACACCTCAACATAAAGAAAACAAAAATCCTTACAACTAGACCAATAAGCAACATCATGATAAACGAAGAAAAGACTGAAGTTGTCAAGGATTTCATTTTACTTAGATTCACAATCATCACCCATGGAAGCAGTTAAGAAATCAAACAACGTCGGGCAAATCTGCTGCAAAAGACCCTGTTAAAGTGTTGAAAAGCAAAGATGTCACTTTGAGGACTAAGGTGCACCTGACCCAAGCTATGATATTTTCAATTGCCTCATATGCATGCAAAAGCTGGACTATGAGTAAGGAAGACCAAAGAAGAATTGATGCTTCTGAATTACTGTGCTGGCAAACAATATCGAATATACCATAGACTGCCAGAAGAATGTACAAGTCTGTCTTGGAAGAAGTACAGCCAGAATGCTCCTCAGAAGGAGGATGGCGAGGTTTTGCCTCATGTAATTTGCACACATTATCAGGAACAACCAGTGCCTGGAGAAGGACATCATGCTTGGTAGAGGGTCAGCAAAAAAGAGGAAGACCCTCGACGAGATGGATAGACATGGTAGCTGTAACAATGGGCTCAAACACAGCAACAATTATGAGGATGGCACAGGACCAGGCAGGGTTTCATTCTATTGTACATAGGGTTGCTATGAGTTGGAACCAAGTTGACGGCACCCAACAACAACAAGAACTTCACTGATATCAAGTATCCCTTAATATATAGCTCTCTATACAAGAATATATTTAAAATATGCTGATTAGAGAAAACATCGTATTCATATGCAGAAAATTTGAATATCTAGTGTGCTGTGGTTAATAAATATCTTCATCTAACTTTCTGAGAAAAAAATTAGGTATATATAAAAAGTAAACTTCTTGGGAAATTTACTAGAATATAAAAAGCTTACCTAACCAATAAGCTCTCTGTATTAACCAGTGTTCTCTATTTCTTCTGTAAAACCTACAGTTTAGCTAATGACCACAGCAGTCCTACTCCAGTGTGCCCAAGTGCTCTGTTCCTACTAGCTTGGTTGTATGTTTACCAAGACTTAATCATGTTTATCACCAAACTCACTTTGCCAGCCATGCTTATTGTTAAATGGCATGTTAATAAATGGCATGATTTAAAAAGAGCTGTTCCTAAGAAAAACTACTTGAATGCTTTGGAAAGACAAAAAAGACAGGTTGTTTAAAAAATATTCCTGCTAGGAAGACAATTATACCCACTCCTCACTTATCAACTATCTCATTAGCCAACATTTTACATTTATAACAATTAGTGAAAAATCTACTCCCTACTATTTTTCACATTAACAACGTACATGTGGCAGTAACAAATGCCAAAGTGTGAGGTGAGAGTAACACTGGCTGTGATGGTTAAGGTTTTGTGTCAGCTTGGCTGGGCCATAATTCTCAGTGGTTTGGCAATTATATAATGACATTTGGCAGTTATGTAATAATGTAGTCATCCTTCATTTTGTGATCTGATGTGATCATCCTCCAATTTTCTCGTAAAGACCTGGTCTTTGGAACCTAACCATGTTGCTAAGTAAGGAGTGGGTGTACAAGTTTATGAAAACCATGTGTTTTTCTTCATATGGAATCTTTAGAATGAAAAAAATGAAATAAACATTGCTAAGTATTTCTACAGGCTAAATTTCATTATTTATGTTCTTTCTTTTCCAGGAAGAACAATTTCTGAAAAGCAGTCTTTCACCAATTCTAGGGCTATAAGTTAAATCAGCACACATTGTATTTACATTTCCAAAAGATTATTAACAGGTCAAACATCAAAGAAAACATTTGAAATATTTCACTTAAAAATAAGCTTACAATAAAGTTCATGATCCATTCCTTTAAAGTGTAGAAATATAATATGGATGCTCTCATGAAGAAAAAGTGGTGCAATAAAACAACCCTTATGGTCATGTGGAGCCCGGATAGCATAATGGTTAATAGCTCAGCTGCTAACCAAAAAGTTGGCAGTTTGAATCCACCAGGCACTCCTTGGAAACTCTATAGGGCAGTTCTACTCTGTCCTATAGCGTTGCTATGAGTCGGAATGGATTCGATGGCAATAGGTTTGGTTTTTTGGTTTTGATGGTCGTGTAGTACATTCTTTCCAAATACTTCTTATTTTCCCCGCCAACTATGTCATGGGATTGCCCTCTTAAGAAAAAAAGCTACACGCTTAATGGATTTTAAAATACATACCACTAATTTCCAAAAGCTAAACCTTATTTTATGGGAAACAAGCAGAAAAAATATTTAATAGACCAATCACAAAAGTCAAAACAAACCAACCAACCAACCTTATAACTATTATGGGGGGAAAAAAACCTCTGACTTAAGAGTTCTCCAAAATGAGGTATTCTGGTTACTTTCACCTAGAGCAAAGGTTTTAAACTTGGGTTCACAGATTCTTTAAGGGTGCATGAATTTAAATGGAAAAAAAAAATTACATCTTTATTTTCACTAACCTCTAAATGAAGTTAGAGGTTAGGGAAGCAGGAAGAGAAAGAGAACACAGGCCACAATCTGTTTCTTTGGCTCTGGGATGAAGCAAGATTTCAGTTCTTTGGGAAAGCAGGAAATCTTCATAGGTCAACTATAATTTAAGTAGCAAGAACAAGTAAGACCTGAAAGATAAAGAATATAAAACTTACATTGTAAAGCTTTCAGTTTTGAATGCAGGCAACACACCACAATAGCATTAGTAGCTCCTGAGACTTTGTCACCAACAGACATCTAGGTATTTTCACGTCACATTACAGGAGTTACAGCGGCCTTAAAATATCATTTATATACATCAGTACTTGGAAATTTTGGTGGTTATTAGACCCATCACTAGATTTTTTTTAATTTAATGCATTAAATTCATAATCGTGAATCACAAGTTTGCCCTCTTTTATATTTTGATAACTGTATTTCAATACAGCTGTTTCTTTTCTAATTTTATGTATGTTTTTATGCATTCTGAAAACATTTTTCTGATAAAGGGTCTATAGGCTTCACCAGGCAGCCAAAGGGATCCACTGCACAAAAAAAGTTAAGAACCCTTATCAGAAGAAATACATTCTTAAAATAAACTGTTCTCAATCTAACCTTGAATTTTGTCATAAAAAAAAATTTTTCCATCTAACTTGGATGTGATTAGATGAAAAATATTAAGAGCATTGCAGTTAATATTGGGTACTAACAGACCCCCCCACCCTACCCCACCCAGTATTAGCACAATTCAGGAGCAATGAAATAGAGGCACACTGAAAATATACCTCCCTTGTCCTTCTTTCAAAGTCAAAGCACTGACATGGAAACAAAGAAGAACATACAAGGGCAGTATATATGTATGTATTTTTTAATATATATATATTATATATATATTTTTTTAACTTACATAGATTTTTTTCTTCATTAATAATGAGGAGTAAGGCAAAAGGATGGAGCCCTGGTGGCACAGTGGTTAAGAGCTCAGTTGCTAACCAAAAAGGTTGCCAGTTGGAATCCACCATCTGCTCCTTGGAAACCCTATGGGCAGTTCTACTCTGTCCTATAAGGTCGCTGTGACTCGGAATCTACTCAATTGTAATGGGTTTTGTGGATTAAGGCAAAAGGAAATGAAGGGATGAAAAGAGAAAGGCAAAAGATAACAAGAGCAAGTAGATGACAAAGCTGCTCTTTTCTCCCTAGGCCTTGTCTTTGTAAAGTCTTTTTATAGAGTCCAGGATAAAAATCGCAAATATACTACCCCGAGAGTATGGCCCCCAGATACCCTTTTAACTCAGTACTGAAGTCACTCCTGAGGTTCACCCTTCAGCCAAAGATTATACAGGCCCACAAAACAAAATGATACTAAATGGGCACACCATCCCAGGGGCAAGGACAAGAAGGCAGGAGGAGACAGGAAAGCTGATGATGGGGAACCCAAGTTCGAGAAGGGGAGAGTGTTGACATATCGTGGGGATGGCAACCAATGTCACAAAACAATATGTGTATTAATTGTTTAATGAGAAACTAGTTTACTCTGTAAACTTTCATCTAAAGCACAATAAAAAAAAAAAAAAGAAATTGTAAATATACTTAAGAAGTTAGGAGGAAGAATGCAAAAAAAAAGCCAAAACCAATCTGTGGAAAAAAAAGAGAGGTTAGGCTAACAGTCACACTGTAATATCAAATCTAACAGTGGTTAAAATTTACAAAGTACTTCAATTAATAAGGTTCATAACAAACATGAAGTAAAGCTCTGTATTCATTTGGTTTAAATGAAGTCTTATTGCTTTGAACAACTAAACAAAAATGTTTAGCAATACACAGTGAAACATTCTTCAAATGAAAAAGATACCAATTTCCTGTGCCTTCAGCAGGACAGAAAAAAAAAAGTCATTTTAAAAAGACAGTATTTTAGAAGAAAACATATTTTTAAATGTTTAGTTTTCCACTCCACCAGTGAGGTTAAGCACAATAGGTATCATCTAGTTAAACTGATAAAAGTTGGATTTTAAGTAGCCTGTAGCTCTCTTCGGAAGTTACTAAATAATTAAATGGCTACATACATAGAATGTGGAATAAAAGGCTGTACACATCTTTCAGGAAGCAGAAAGAGAAAGAGAACACAGGGCATAATATGTTTCTTTGGTTCTGGGATGAAGCAAGATTTCAGTTCCGTGGGAAAGTAGGAAATCTTCATAGGTCAATTATAATTTAAGTAGCAAGAACAAGTAAGGTCTGAAAAATAAAGGAAGAATATGAAGCTTATATTGTAAAGCTGGTCATTCTCAGGCAGCTGTGGGGAGGGAAAGCTAGCCAAACAGCCACATCCTTGGAACTGACAGGAGTGAGCCTATGGTTACTACGCATTCTAGTGAAGTTCAGGAAAAACAAAAGCAAGGTAGTGGTAACAGGAAATTAGACCGCTTTCAGATGCTTTATGCTCTTTGTGAAACTTTCAAATAACGATCTCTATTTTTTTTGTGTAGAAGTACCCAGGAGCAGACCTTGTAAATAATTACAAACACGTGTAAATAAAGTTTTTAATTCAAATATACATCATACATAAAATCAGGGGACTATGTGATATAAGATTCAAGTTCACTCCCATTTAATTGCCTGACATATCTGTTTTTAAGAAAACTTTACTAAAATCACTAAATGATTAACTATTAAAGCATCTCTTTTTTAATTCTTCTGCCTGTTGCCTGCCTTTGACTATTTCACAATGAACAGCAGAACCAGTTGCTAAGGAGAAAATGAAAAATTAAATTCAAATAATCATGGCCTATCTCCACCCCTCTGAACACCACTCCCCCCACCCTACCCCCAACTGATGAAAGGAAACAAAATTTAAAATCATTTGGGAGACTTACTTCCTTGACTAAAGGGGTCATCGTAAGGTGATTTTTTCCCCCAACGGCATGCTTCATTAAAACCCAAAAAACCAAACCTGTTGCCCGCGAGTCGATTCCGACTCACAGCGAGCCTAAAGAACAGAGTAGAACTGCCCCATAGTTTCCAAGGAGTGCTGGGGGATTCGAAGTGCCAACATTTTGGTTAGCAGTGGAGCTCTATACCACTGTGCCACCAGGGTTTCCATGCTTCATTACTGCTCTTTAAGTACATTTCAAAACACTTATCTACATGTTAAGTACAACTGCATTTGATCACTAATTAGGAAATCTGGGAAACGGCAGAGATTTTAGAGAAACGAATTTCAACAATTATACTTACCTAGACTGGCTCCATCTTGTGTATTTGGACAAAACTGGTATCTAAATGTAGAAACATGCCTAATTAAGTTAAATTTAACTCTTCCATCTATTTTTGTTTTAATGATTCTTTAGTTTTCTTTACATATATTTATATATATATACACACACACTTTAGTTTTCTATTTCTGTTTTAAAAAAAAAAGTTGTCTCCTGTCAATTTTAAGAGGCGTAAATGCATTCTAAGTGTCCACATACAGTAAAATGGGTTCTTATGTGTGACACAGATGTCCCAATCCCAGAACTGGAAGTCGTCACCATAATCAATGCTAGGATATAAATTCTATTTAAAAACATTTCTAAGAAAAAAAAAAACTGTTTTTGTGCTATCAATGAAAAATATTGAGGCTCTTTAAGATTATGAACAAAAGTGGATGACATTTTGAGTTAAGATAACTCTTACGTCTAGTGTAAAAAAAAAATGCTTCACTAGAATAACTCTAAAGAAACTGAGTTTTATTTTATTGAAATTCTCAAAGTAAAATATCAAAATCACATAAGCCCTACTAAAAGTTTAGAGGATTTAATTTTGACATTTAACTGGCCTGATTGTACTACTGTTTAGAAAGCATGCATGACAATGTTTCCCATTTTGGGAGAACTGCTTGCTGCTGTTGTTAGCTGCCCTCCAGTCAGCCCCAACTCATGATGACTCCGTGTGTTACAGAACTGCTCCATAGAGTTTTCCTGGCTGTAATCTTTACAGAAGCAGTTCACCACACCTTTCTTCTGCAGAACCACTGGGTAAGTTCCATATTCCACTAACCTCTGGGTTAGCAGCCTAACACAAACAGCTTGCACCTCCCAGGCTAGCTTCAAAAAAGCCTGATATGTGAGAAAGTTGCTAATAAGGTTTTCTTATAGTCAATCATCCTTCCTCACCAATGAGAGGGTTGTTTAAGCAGGCTTTAAGCAAAATCCCCATTTAACTTCCTAGTCTATACTGTTCCTCTACTGATAGAATTTGTTTCACATACATTTTACCAGTAATTTCCTCTAATATTCCTGAAGCCAGTCATGAAATGTGCAAAACAGACCTCACTTTCGTTTTTAAACTTCGCTGTAACTGCACTATACCAGTAAGGTAACTGTCTATGTGAGTGATGTCAAGATAAATTCCCAATAACATTATCTTTAAGTTTTCATCTTCATTATCTCTTATAAAAAACCTGTTGCTGTCGAGTCGTTTCCAACTCATAGCAACCCTTTTATACTCTTCTGGAATATTCTAGAGCATCAGAAAAAAGAAAACCTGTGGGTGGAAGCATTTACTTTTAAGAACAGCCCACTCTGAGGGTATTATATTGTGTAATTTTCATGGTAAAAGATATTTTAAATGGCTTTCCTGTTTTTAAAATTATTAATGACTAAAAATGTTTATTCTACCTATGTGTAAGAGATGAGCTACGTGTTTACTGAATTCTATATTTTTAATTTCCTGTATTGATAATATCGAAACCACATTCAATGTATGATAATAATGCTTTTCAAAGCTGACTTCTATACATGGAATTCATCAGTTCAATAAAACAGAAATACTTACTAAAACTCAAATACATTTCAGACTTATTTCCTTAGCAACCAACGCTGACAGCACATCAAAATATCAATGGTTCAGCTATTAAGTGTTTGCATTGTTCAGTTTTATTTTAAGATGTCTATCTAAATGGAGCAGGACATTTGAGAGCTTTCCAACAGATTACTTACTTCAATAATAAATCTGGCTCCATTTTGTGGCCCAATATTTACTTGTAGAGAATATAAAATTTTGGGGCAACAGTCAACATTAGAAATACATGTCTATATATATGAAGGCTTGGTCAGGATTCTTTTTGTATATGAATAATTTAAAACTCTTTCCTACTCTTCATGAAATAACCATAATAGACAAGATTTCACACTTTAATTACGCAACAACTCACCTCAGTGGGAAACTAGAGTACAATCTATTACCTATGGAGTCTGTACTTTAAATTCTCAGTAGAAGCAAATTTCAGTAACTTTCAGGAACAATGCAAAAACAAAAAAGACTAAAAAACTTTTCTGTGTTTATATATTAAATAAAAATTTATTCATATATTCTTACAAAAATATGTACACAAAACATCAGCGTAATTACAACTTCACACTCACCAAAATGATTCCATGCCAACCGCCAAGATGCTGCGAAAACATTCACTTACATTGATCTGTTTACAGATTCACCAAAAATGTTTGTGTAAATTATCAACACTTAATACGACAATGTTTTAAGTGTTTACTGATTCAGGTTCAAAACCATTTAAATATCTTTTTAAAGTTGTGTTTGGATCAATAAGAAATTTCTTAAACATCAGTTTTCATTAATATTTAGCATTTACTGCCCAAAACATACTGTTTGCAATTTGCTTCCCTTTGGAAAAAAAATTTTTTTAATGTCACTTTAAGTTCAAAGATTTAAAGCCTATGTCTTAAGA